TTTCCTTGCATCCCTGCCAGCATTTATAATTTCCTTTTCTGTCATATTAGCCAATCTTATAGGTGTGAGGTGGTATTCAGAGTTCTTTTAATTTGCATTTCTCTAATAAATAGTGATTTAGAGCATTTTTTCATATGACTATTGATAACTTTGATTTCTTCTGAAAACTGCCTTTTTGTATCTTTTCGCCATTTATCACTTGGGGAATGACTTGTGTTCTTATAAATTTGACTCAGTTCTCTATGTATTTGAGAAATGAAGACTTTATCACAGAACCTTGTAAAAATTGTTTCCCAGGGCAGCTAGAGCAAAGTGGGTAGAGCACCAGCCCTGGAGTCAGGAGGACCTGAGTTCAAATGCAGCCTCAGACACATAACCCTTACTAGCTTTGTGACTCTGGGCAAGTCATTTAACCTCAATTGCCTTGCCCCCCTCCCCCCCAAAAAATGTTTCCTAGCTTTCTGCTTTCCTTCTAATCTTGGTTGCATTGGTTTTGTTTGTGCAAAAATTTTTTAAATTTAATATAATCAAAATTATCCATTTTACATTTTGTAATGCTCTCTATCTCTTGTTTGGTCCTAAATTCTTCCCTTCTCCATGGCTCTGACAGGTAAACTGTTCCTTTCTCTCTCAGTTTGCTTATAGTTTTACCCTTTATGTTTAAATCATTTTGACCTTAAAAATCAAAGATTAAAAATTTTGACCGTATCTTGGTAGATGATATAGCATGTTGGGCTATGTTCAGTTTCTGCCATGCTGTTTTCCTGTTTTCTCAGAAGTTTTTGTCAAGTAGTGAATTCTTGTCCCAAAAGCTGGGGTCTTTGGGTTTGTCAAGCACTCTGTCCATTACTTCTGAGTCTTGTGTACCTAATCTATTCCAATGATCTACTACTCTATTTCTTAGCCAGTACTGGATGGTTTTGATGATTACTGCTTTATAATATATTTTCAAAGCTGGTATGGCTTTGCCACCTTCTTCTACTTTTTTTTTTATTCCCTTGATATTCTTAACCTTTTGTTCTCCTTTTAAAATTTTGTTTTCTATATTTTTTAGTTCTATAAAATAATGTTTTGGCAGCTTGATTGGTATGGCACTAAACAAGTAAATTAATTTAGGTAGAATTCTTATTTTCATTATATTGGCTTGGCCTACCCATGAGCAATTAATATTTTTCCCGTTGTTTAGATCTGACTTTATTTGTGTTAAAAGTGTTTTGTAATTGTGTTCATATAGTTCTTGAGTTTGTCTTGGCAGGTAGACACCCAAATATTTTATATTGTCTACAGTTATTTTAAAAGGAATTTCTAGCTCTGTCTCTTCCTGCTGGATTTTGTTGGCAATTTGTCGAAATGTTGATGATTTATGTGGATTTATTTTATATCCTACAACTTTGCTGAAGTTGTTAATTATTTCAACAAGATTTTTAGTTGATTCTTTAGTATTCTTCAAGTAGAGCATCATATCATCTACAAAGAGTGATAGTTTTGTTTCCTCATTGCCTACTCTAATTTTTTCAATTTCTTTTTTTCCCCTTCTTATTGCTGTAGCTAACATTTTTGGTACGATATTGAATAATAGTTGTGATAGTGGGCATCCTTGCTTCAACCCTGATCTTATTGGGAAGGCTTCTAGCTTGTCCCCATTACAGATAATACTTGCTGATGGTTTTAGATACTGTTTATCTTTTTAAGGAAAGCTCCCTTTATTCCTATGCTCTCTAGTGTTTTAATAGGAGTACATATTGTATTTTGTCAGATGCACCTTACAAGATGCATTCCTGGCTGGAACCCTGTCCCCAGTGTCTGAAGACCTTTTTGCCTATCTCGTTGTGCTGACTGGGGCTGGAAAATGATTCACTGTGATTTTTTCTTGAATTTCTCTATTAGGATTCAGTTTGGTGCATTTTCTTCAACTTTTTGGTGGAGTTGTTGAGAGTGAGGAGTTGTTATTCTGGTATCTTGATTCTGCCTCCAGGCCTCAACATTTTAAAGTGGTCATTCAGTCTTTACTTGAAGACCACCAGTAATAGGAAATTCTTTACCTTTTGAATCAACCCATTCTTCTTTTGGACAGCTCTCATTGTTAAGGACATTTTCCTGGAATCAGTCAACAAATATTTAGTAGTAAGCTAGGCAGTGAGGGTACAGAGGCAAAAATGAAACTATCTGCCCTCAAAGAGCTTATCCTCTACTGGGGAGATAATATACATAAATATGCATATGCAAAGTAATTAGGTCTTTTTTTGTGGGGAAGAGGGGACACTTGCATTGGAGGAATAGGGAAAGGAATCATGTAGAAGGTAGAGCTGGACTCTGAGAAACAGTATAGTATACTGGAAACAGTGCTAGACTTCGAGCTCAGAAGACTATCTGATAGTAAGCTGTATGACTATGACTAAGTCACTTAAATTCTTTGAACTTCAGTTTCCTCATTTATAAAATGGGTGACAGTGGTATCTGTTGCATCTACTGCTCAGGGCTCTTCTGAGGCTCAGAGGAATGAATCATTTGTAATGGGCTTTGCAGACTTTCAAGCACTCTCTGAATATCTGCTGTTATTACCTTCCTATTGTTCTCAGTCCAGACTTCTAGGACCTATCAGAATTAGCCTAATATATTTTCCATGTGATAATCCTTCAGATACATGAGGATATTTATCATCCATTTCCAACTCTTTCTGATGAACTCCTTCCCTCCCATTGTTTGTTTTATTTTTTTTCCTCTTCAAGCTAAAGATTTCCATCAACTCATTCTCTAATGGCATGGTTTGTTGTAACCTCACCATTTTCAACCAACCCATCAGTCAACAAGTATTTATCAGTTTATTTATAAGTGCCTAAGGCATTAAGAAGAAACAGACAAAAAGTGAAACAAAGGAGCTTACATTCTTTTTTTGGGGGGGGAGAATGACATGTACAGACATTTTGTATTTGAATAGTATGTACAAAATAAATACAAGTTTTGGAGTGGGAAGGCACTAATAGCTAGGGGGTGGGTGAGATAGGAAGGTAGTGCTAAAGGTGGGCTTTGACCATTTTGTTAATGGTCCTTTCTGAAACAAATTACCTAGAACTGAACACAGTATTCCAGATGTAATCTGACCAGGGCAGAGTATAGTGGAACTATATAATCTCACTTTTTTTTATTTTGGAAACTGTGCTTCTGTAAGTGTAGCCTAAAGTCACATGAACATTTTTGACTGCCATGTTAACACTGTTGATTCATATATTGAGCTTGTCAGTTTCTAAAAGTTCTAGGCTTTTTTTATACAAAGTACTTTTTAACTTTTCCAATTCTATACTTGTATAATTGACTTTTTTTTGTTTTTCCTCTATTTTTAAAATTAATTAATTTTTAGTTTTCAACATTCACTTCCATAAGATTTTTAGTTCCATATTTCTCCCCATCTCTCCCCTCCCCTCACCCCAAGATGGTGCATAAATTGATACAGGCTCAACATGAATACTCGTATTAAACCTATTTTCATATTAGTCATGTCGTAAAGAAGAATTAGTGGGAGAAACCATGAGAAAGAAGAAACAAACAAAAAAAAAGCATTTAAATAATATGCTTCGATCTGCATTCAGACTCCATAGTTCTTTTTCTGGATGTGGAGAATATTTTCCATCATGAGTCTTTTGGAGTTGTCTTAGATCTTTGCATTGCTAAAAAAAGCTAAGTTTATCAAAGTTAGTCATTGCACAATGTGGCTGTTACTATGTACAGTGTTCTCCTGGTTCTGCTCACTTCACTCAGCATCAGTTCATATACATCTTTCCAAGTTTTTCTGAAGTCTGCCTGCTCATCATTTCTTATAGCACAATAGTATTTCATTACATTCATATACCACAACTTGTTCAGCCATTCCCCAGTTGATGGGCATCCCCTCAATTTCCAATTCTTTACCAGATAATTAACTTTTAAAAACCAAGTTCAAGACTTTACATTTAACCTGATTAAATTTAATCTGATTAGTTTTGGCTCATTCATTATTGTAGATTGTTGAAATATTTTTGTATTTTTAAAAAGGAGAATGTGGATGGTATTTTAAGATGTCTGCTCTCTTTATATGACATAGGGTCTTTGAAACAGTTGTAATATGACCTGAGCTGTTAGGGATATTTGTGTCTGAATGTCTGGGAAGATTTTTTTTTCTTAAAAGGCATGGAATTATCTCCTACCAATAGGTTACTGGTTTCCTATTTGATGAAATAAATGGCATATTATGGGGTTCGTGGTGAAAAAGAGTCAAAGGCTGCAAAATTAATTGCCTAATTTTGTATGGTGTTTTCACATGTATTATCTCATTTTATCCTGAGTACTACACTGTAAGCGAAGTGGTATAGGTATCTCCATTTAACAGATGAGTGAGAGTCTTTGCAGCTGTGGGATAGTGTGTCAGTCTCTTCCAGGCTAAAAATCAGTCAACAAGTATTTATTACGCTCTGACTATATGCCTTGCACTGTGTTAGGCACTGAGGATACAAATTCAATGAATGAAATAATCCCCACTTAATAAGGAATAGGATCTACTCTAAGGTAAAGTAGTTGCCCTCAGTTAGTTTCAAACATGTATCTTTTTTATTTTGTTGCAAATAAGTCCTTCCTTTTGGACTTTGTTTGCTACCCTCTCTTGCCTTTGTTAAACTCTTTGTTTGGAGAGGCTTGCATTTCCTAGGTGAAGGGTAACTAATGAAAATTATTGCAAAGGATCCTTCAAATTGAGAAATACCTTGGATAATTTTAATTGTCAAACACTTGAAAAATTATGCCAGAAAGGGATTGATACGAGCAGTTAGCTACGGATAATTTCTGGAAAGGTAATTGAGGAATGAATGCAAATCATTTATACAATTTATATATTATATAGTATATATGATTTGCTTTGTTGAGGTCTTTGGTGTATTCCTATGTTGCTGTCCTATTTTTAAAGTCTAGTGCATAGTGAAGGTGCATAGTATCAGATATCTTCAACTTTTTTTTGTGCATAACCTTTTCAGACATTGGGCTGGGAAGTGACTCTGTATGTGCTCGGCCCTCATCTCATCGAATAAAGTCCTTTGATTCCCTTGGATCTCAGTCTTTACTCAGTCGGACTTCAAAATTGTTCCAGGGCCAGTATCGAAGCTTGGTAAGTTTGATTAAAACAAAAGCTGACTTGTATGTGTGCACACCCACATGTTATTAATGTGGTGTTGTAAAGGAATAAAAGTTATGTGTCTTGGACTTCTCTGTACTTCAACTCTTTTGAGCTAATGCCTACCCAGAGTTTCCTTAAATTCTGATGGATAGATCATGTGTCTGTGTGTGCGCATGCCTGTGCATGCGTGGGTGTGTGTATGTATGTGTGTATACACATAGCATCTTATTTATATCTTCTATAAAAAAGAGTGCTTGAGCACTGCGTGATATTTTCTTTTTAATCCTCTTTATAAATGTCCTCTTACCCTAAAATGTTGGAATAAGGAATCCACTTTGACAGAACAAGAATGAATGTTTAAGGTCTATAAAACTAAATTCTCCAGCAGTCATTTTCTCTCTGCTTAAAAACATGATTTAAAGTGCTTTAATAAGTCAGACTGTGTTTTGTAAAAGAGGAAAACCCATATGATAGCCAGGAAATAGTTTAAGGGAAATTTTAAAGGAAAGAGATCTAAATTATTATGAATGGGTTAAGTGAAGAAAAATTTGATTTTGTATTATCAGAATGGGCAAGGTCATCATTAATGATGACTATAATGATGAAATAGGAAAAGGCAGAGTGAAAAGTAAAGGGAAAAAAACAAGAAACATAGCATTAGCCAAAAATTATGAAAAAAGGTAGAACTTCATATGAAAACTGATCTTTTAATGAAATATTTTTAGGTCTTAAGACCATTTCAGTGGGGCAAAAGACGCTGAACTACCTGTTCCACTTGCCTCCTTTGCCATGCAAAATAAACCAAAGCTTACATCTTTAAATTACTGAATTAATGGGATTGTTTTTGATGAAATACAAGTACCTGGTTTTCCTCAACGTTTCAAATAAGCAATTTCAGATCAGAAATAAATATGAACTGTCACATTAAATGTGAATGGTAGAAGATGCATCGATATTGTAGAACTTTGCTGAGTTATATTATTACATGTGTATGTGTTGATGTGGATGGATTTTTGTTGTGATATTAACTAAATGTGTTTTTCACTTGATCTTTAGACTATACTTCTAGAATATCTACTTTAAGACAGAAAGGGGGATTGGTAGGCAAAGGCAGCATTAATTAGTCAATAAACATTTAAATACTTACTGTATGCTCAGCTTACTGTGCTGTGCTAAAAGGTTTTTGAAGAGCTTCATGGTTTGAGTGTATTAATCTCACAGTATTTTAGGAAGCAGTAGTATATCCATAAGGTATATTGGCAGAAAAGTAAAATAGTCCTCTCCACTTTTTAAGGCAGCTAATGGAAAACGGGCAGCTAGGTGGCACAATGGATAGAATGCCAGGCTTGGTGTCAGGCATACTCATCTTCCTGACTTCAAACCTGGCCTCAGATACTTACTAGCTGTGTGATGCTGAGCAAATCACTTAACCCTGTTTGCCTCAGTTTCCTCATCTGTAAAATGAGTTGGGAAAGGGAAATGGCAAACCATTCCAGTATCTGCTTCTTGGCAGATGGGGTCACGAAGAGTTGGACATGGCTGAAATGATTCCACAACAGCAATAGAAATTAGAGGAGACTAGAAACATTTCTTCGCTATTTAGCTGTACTTTTTTCCTCTTAAAGTAGCACCCTGTTTCTGAATTTGATTGAAGTAAATTTCAATTTTATTGGGCACAACTCTCTAGAAAAGTTTGGAATTTCTTTGGGAGAATTATGGCTCCAAATTAAAGAGAAGTTTATCCCACTGAAAAAAAATTTGCCTTTGTCTGATCATAAAAGAAATCCAGAAAGGTTGTGAACAGAATATTTGTTGCCTTCTGCTTGACAACTCTGAGCTAATTTTGAATGAAACAAAATTTCAAATGTATGTTATGTTTGCTTTTCTCCCAGTTCTTTTCTTCACAACTCTTATATTCTTCTTTTCTCTCTAAGTATCTTGCTTCTTTCTCTTCCTGGAGGCTCAGTTTGTGAGGTTTTTTATAACAGTGTCTGATTTAGAGGCACCCAAGAGGATTACAAGAGAGGAATCGGGCACTCTGAAAAGGAATATAAGTTTCCATGTTTCACATTCATGAATGAGGCAAATTGGTTTGTAAGCGTTTATTTTCTTTGAACTAAACTCTTGCTTTATATAATATTCATTATAAAACAGTGGATCCTAAAGGATGCTTACTATTTGTAACTGGCTGGTAGCAGGATTCTTTTGTATGGTCAGCCTTGTCTGGTTCTGGAAAGGCATATGTATTAACTTAATTGCTACAGTTGCCTTTAGTTGTTGGAATTTATCACCAGGATTGGGTCCGTATGTGTTTTATAAAAAACAGATTTCCTGAAGTTATTGTGGATATGCTTACAGAGAAGAAAATATAATGAAGATCATAGTGGACACTTGATGAATAATAATCATAGTTTATGAAACAGAAAATATTCCCCACGGAGTATAGATAACTTCTAAAGACAATTTACAAGAGCAGGAAAGTATATATTCTGTCAGTTTTCTAGCAACAGGTTTTATTTGGCATGTTGATGAACTTGGTTCAAACTCCCATTGGTCGATAAGAGCCAGCAAGCTTTGTTTTTCAGGGGAAAAAATGCCAAATAAATTTAATATTTCTAAAGCTTTAGATGTTTCTGTAACTAATATGTGTAACTTCCCAGGAAAACCAGAGTACTTCAGTCATGCCTGTGACAACGGAGAAGGAACAAACAGTGTTTTAGTACAACTAATTTATCCCTTGACTTTGTCTTTGTAATTAATACTGATTGCTGTGCTGTTGTTCAGATTTCTCTATACTTTAGATGACAACATGGAGTAGGGGGAAGAACACTGTCCATGAGTCAGTGTTATGGTTTCTGCCCTGCTTCTAATTTGTTGTAACATGAACAAGTTGTTTAACTTTCTTGGTCTCAGTTTCCTCATCTTTAAATGTAGGCAGTTGTATAGATTCATCTTTTTTAAGTTTTTCATCTCTAACACTCTATGAAAGAGCCACATTTTTTTTTCTTTCTCTGAAATCCATTGTATTTGAAACACATTTTTCCCCCCTATCTTTTTCTTGACTTGCTCCCTTCCCTGCTTACTCTTCTCTTTCTTAAAGAAATTGTATGTCCTTCTTATTCCCCTTTCCAATCCTGTTTTCCTTTCCAGCTAACTTCCTTCTGCCTTCTTTATCCAAAACTTTTTTTCCCCTCTTTACATCATTCTGTTTTCCTTTACCTTGCTTTTACAGTGTCATTGTTTAACACTAGTTTTAGGGGAGCACGATATATTTTATTTGTCCTTTGATATAAATCTGTATGAAGTAAGGAGAGTGGGTTCTAAAGATGTCATGTGTGATATAGAAAGTCTCTCCCTCCCCCCCCGCCTCATCTTATTTAGTTGGTAAACTGGGGGGGAAAAGTTTTTACACATGAGATAGTGCAGATAGGTGGAGGTGGGAATTAGTACTTGTTGCTATGTGCTGATCCTCACAGTTTTAGAAAAATAATAACTTTTGACTTAGATTTTGCTAGAGAAGGGCAAGTTCTTGATGGAGAAAACTTTCAATGGATGTGATATTTTTGTAGAGGAGAAGAATCAGGCAAAATTGAAGAAGATTCTGTGTTCTTCATCCTCCTAATATTTTCAGTCTATAGTTCGACAAACAAGAAACGTAAGAAAAATTTCAGTGGAAAATATCTTCAGGAGTTCTTGCATAAGCTGATAGTATCATAGATTTAGAGCTAGTAGGGCCCTTGGAAGTTAACCAGTCTTGCTGAGACCCAGAGAAGTGAGATGACTTGCCAAAGGTCAAACAGGTAGAAAGTGGCAGAGCCAGTATTTGAATCAAGATATTTTGACTTGAAAGTCAATTCTCTTTCCACTGAACCTTGTTACTCTTTTGGATGTTACCCAGAGCATCTGTGAATTTAGTATGAAAAACTACTGTTCCTGACATTAATAATATTAATCATCCTGATATTAATGTGTTTCCTGATAATTTGAATAGAAGAACCTGTTGTCCCTCAACACTAGAATGTTGTCAACCAGGAGATGAATCAGTTTGTTGGGGAGACAAACGTCAGACTAATTACCCCTCTCTGCATCAAAGTTGTGCAACCTTCTTTCCAGTGACAGTGATGGAGCTGTATAACCAGGCGGAGGGTGCTGAGAAATCACAAATTTTTATAAATTATTCATAATCATAATGTCTATTATATGTCCAACAAGAAAGGAGTTGACACTCTACTAAAAGAGCTCAGTCATATGATTATTGATATTCTGGCTATAAATAAAACCAGAAGATGTAAAGAAGTTATAGCTATATTTAAATATAATTACAGCAATATATTTAAATAATTTGTATAATACAAAAAATGGGAAGTGATTATCACAATTTTTAGAGAAGTTTAACTGATACAGAGTTGTTGCCATGACAAGAATACTGAAAGAGACCAGAAACCACTCTAGTCAGCAAACATTTAATCACTTTCACGAGTGAAAAGCCGTTAGAGCAAAGAGCAACACTGGTCTGGAATATAAGTCTATTTGTAAAACATTGCAGAAGAGGCTACCTTACGTAACAAGGAAAAAAATAGTCAATGAGAACATTTTTTACCTTTTAGAGATTTTGGGATTTGGTATAGGCTAAATTTGATTAACTTGAAGGAATTTGTAGATAATACTGCAAGGAGAAATGAACAAACTACTTTCATTTTTATAGTGATCTGTTTTCATTGGGAACAGTGGAGGAACCTTCATGTTTGGTTGAACTTTATCACTCTGGAAGCAGATATCCTATGTGAGGAAGTGGTAGTGGTCTTAAGAAGATGAAATCTTGAAGGGCAGCTGAACCTCAGCAGATACGTAGAGAAATCTTTTGGTGAGGTCTACTCTAAAGGCATTTTTATGGATCAGGTTTCAAGAATTCTCATAGAAGATTCTAAGAGAGTAGAAAGGATTGTTGACAGAAAAAAGTGACTAAAGCATAATCATCAACTGCAAACCCACATGCTTTATTTTTCATCTCTATAAAATCTTTATTTGAATATTATTATGCACGTATTGAAAATATTCATTATGAAAACACGAGAAAGGAATACAGACAGACTTTCATAAACTACTACAACAGAATACATCTTTACAGTCACAACTGAATGAAAGGTGGAGAAAGTAGAAGATCCTGTAGTACCTAATATTTGTTGAATTAAAAAAAATTGATATTCATTCTGATGCCTTTTCAAAATGAATCTTTCACACATATGGTAAGATTATAAAAGATGCAAACATGAAGATAACTTTGTTCAGTAGTTCTCTGAATTCAGCAGTCACCAGTGGTGTTAAAGATGTTGGCCTAGCCATCCACACTGGAAAAACAAAATGGATGAAGAACACTTATTGCCAAGACTTAGAAATGTAGCTGGGTGGTCAGATTGTTGATTTAGTCCATTTGTATATTCAACTTAGCTAATTGCTTCCATGAAGAATGAGCCAGACCCACAGTCAAATATAAGAAGGTAGAAACATATCTCTTGAGGCATTGCATGATGCTTTTCAGTGGTCCCAAATTGCTTATTGCCACAAAAGCTACTAATGGTCTCTTGATGATGCTATATAGCCATAGGACAGCATGATTTTTCTGGTTTAAAGTTCCAAGTAACAAGGGTGATTTTCATGTGAGAAATAGTATGGACTACGTAGACGATATGTATGACCTGAAAAGGAAGTGGATCGGTTATGTGTTGAGAATGAAAAATAGCATGTAGGCAGTTGGGTTCTATATTGATCCAAATTTTTTTCTGCTGCTTTATTTGTTGGAATGAGTGGTCAAGTGGCTTAAATTTTGTCTTTTCTTTCTGTTAAATGGAATTTACATGAAGGGATGCCCACACCAATGAAATCCTGAGCTCATCAAAATGCTCTAATTTTCTTACAGAAATTTCCAGTGTCATTTCCTTTTACAAATTATTATGTAATTTTGAAGAGAATGATAAAATGAGCTTCATTTAAAAAATCTTTAATAGCCACAAGAACTCAAAAGAACTGTTGAGCAATTGTGGTCACATCAAATTCTCACTTGTGGTCACATCAAATTCTCACCACGTTGAAAGTTAAAAACAAAGAGCTCCTAATAAGAGGAATACTTTCAACATAATCTGGTCACATGTACACAGTTAAAACTTTTTAAAAAAATTTTTAAATAAAATTTCTCTTTCAAGAAGAACACTGGACACTATTTGGATCCAGAGCACTTTGGTTCAAATTCTAACTGTTTTGAATTTCAACCCTTTCACTTGGTACCTATGACTTTCTTTAGGTCTCAGTTTCCTTATGTGTGTAAAACAAGTGGGTTGGACTGCATGGTGCAGGTTGCTTCTAGATTTATGATCCAGTTTTTTTTAAATATCAATTTGGTTACAAAGTAAGATAAAACAAATCTAACATGTTTTCTCTTCATTCTATTTGCACAGTTTAAAATAGGATCAATTTCAATTTGCTTAAAGCTTTTGTGTGATAGATGTACCAGTTTCATAGAAAAATAGACTTACTTTTCCTTATGTTTGTTCTTTCATTTTAGGACATGACGGATAATAGCAACCATCAACTGGTGGTGAGAGCAAAATTTAATTTCCAACAAACAAATGAAGATGAACTTTCTTTTACAAAAGGAGACATCATCCATGTCACGAGAGTAGAAGAAGGGGGCTGGTGGGAGGGCACTCACAATGGCAAAACAGGCTGGTTCCCTAGCAACTATGTACGAGAAATCAAATCAAATGGTAAGTGTTTGAGGTTTTCATGTTTGTAGAACTGTCATTTCCTTAAAGAGGAACAGAAGGAAAGTAAGATATAATTAATTTGATCTGCTACTAACAGACATTTTTCTGCTGTTTAAATAACTGATAAAGTGGCTTAATATTTCTGTTCTAGTCTTTTTTCTTCTTCTTCTTCTTTTTTTTTTTTTGGTGAGGCAATCGGGGTTAAGTGACTTGCCCAGGGTCATACAGCTAGTAAGTGTCAAGTGTCTGAGGCCGGATTTGAACTCAGGGTCTCCTGACTCCAAGGCCAGAGCTCTATCTCACTGTATCACCTAGCTGCCCCTGGTTTTCTTTTTTTTAAGTGGAATTTATTATACCTTATCAGTGCATAGGCTGCAGAACTAAAAAGCTACATATATGATATTATCATAATAGTAACAATTTAAAAATCTATATGTAGTATTTCAAACACTACATTTTTCAGGATGGAGAAATTCCTCATCTGCAATCTTTTTCTAATTCATCCGTAATAACATTCCCAGACTAATCTTTGAGTACAAATTTGATTGTTACACCCCTTACAACTCTCCAGTCACTCCTTATTGCCTTTATAATTTGACATGTTTATTAAATGTCCATTGGGGTTTGAACAATTTGCTGGGCTCAGGATGACATACCAAGTTTAGATAAAATATTGATACTTTCTTGGCCTTTTTATAGCTAATAGTCTAGTATTTTTTAACTTTTTTTTTTAATCATGGATGGGCCCCAAATTCTGACGAAATTTATGCACACCTTCACAGGATGTTGTTAAATGCATAAAATCCAATACACAGATTTAAAAGTAAACCAATTATATTGAAATACTGCTATCAAAATAGTAAAAAAACCAAACAAACCCGAAAAACTGCAAGAAACAATTGCATAGCCTCCAGTTTAAGAAAACCTTTTCTAGTAGGAGGATATGACACATTCACAATTAACTGTAATACAAAGTCATACCCAATATGTATGTGGTAAAGATGTAAGCTAAGTATTGGATCTCCTCTGAAAGGGTAAAGGTCATTACTGATTTGGGGTATCAGGGAAGGCTTACTAGAGAGAGGTGGCCTTTGAGTTAAACTTTTTTTTTCCTTTTCCTTTTTTCTTTTTTTAAAGACAATTGGGTTAAGTGACTTGCCCAGGGTCACACAGCTAGTAAGTGTCAAGTGTTTGGTCTGAGGCTGGATTTGAACTCAGGTCCTGCTGACTTCAGGGCCGGTGCTCTGTTTACTGTGCCACATAGCTGTCCCTTGAATTGAACTTTAAAAAATGGGTAGAAATGCAGCAGTTGAGGACAAGGATTTATTCCAAAGGGATGAGTAAAGGCAAAGGGGTAGAAAAGTGCTGTGTACCATGCAGGAGGAGATGACTAATAATCCAGTTTGGTTGAAGTAGGAAGAACATGTTGATGAATAGCATGAAATAAGATGCAAAAGTCAACACAAAATTTGAAGGAATATAAAATTCTGAAAGGAGGTAGAGAAGTCTTACAAGAGTCTAGCCCTACTTATCTTGCAGATGGGCATCTGGAACTCTCAAAGAAGATAGTATGCTTTTGCTCACAGTCACATGCCTAGTAAATGGCAAAGCTAGGATTTGAACCCTAGTCTTCTGATTTTAAGTCCACTGGTCATTCTACTGCATCATGCTAGGTATGATGGTGCTTGGTTGTAGAGGACTATAGCTTCTAGGGTAAGGAATTTTAACTTTTCGATAGGCAGTAGAGAATTATCGGTTTCAAGCAAAGGCAAGAAAAGGAGTATGAATGATGATTTAAAGAGGAAAAGAGAGGGTGTATATAGGAATACATTTTAGAGGTGCACAACTCCCTGTTCATTTGGATGGTAATGACAGTTTGTACTAGAGTAATGGCACTGATGACAGAGAGTTTAGAAGCAAAAACTGTGTTGCAGGTAGATTTCATAGACTTTAATACACTCCATGACTGATTAGACAAAAGAGATGGGGAAGAGAGAGAAGTCAAAGATGATAAATACTGTTTGGAAATTGACCGACTGGGTAGACGATAGTGAATAGTGAAATCAGAAGGAGGACAGAGTTTTACAGAAACTTATTAATGGACATATCAAGTTTGAGGTGCCAGTGGGACATGGTAAGTATGAGGTACAAGGTAGGAACTCTAAAGACATGGGTCTGGACCTCAGGAGAGGTGACGGCTGAAATAAAGTAATTTGTATTGAGGTGATTTTTTTAAGGCCATGGGCTTGATTGAGATCACTAAAGAGAGTGTAGAAAGACAGGATAGTTTGGGGAACACATACTTTTTAGTGTTTGAGAAGAAGAGATGGAAGAATTTGAGACGGAGATGTAAAGCACTCTTAAAAATACTCTTAGGTCATTTCTCATTATATTCTTTTGCATACCCTACCGTCAAGCCAAAATAGAATATTTTTTGTTTCCCAGACATGCCACTGCTTTTTTGTTTCCTTTGTCCCAGGCACTGGGTTAGTCTGGGGGTACCAGTACAAAGAATAAAACGTTGTTTACTGACAGTTTGTATTCTAATGAGAGAGAGAGAGAGAAATTGATAAATACAAAAATAATACAAAAAGTTCAATACAGGATATTTTGTATGGGAGGGCACTAATAGCTGGGGAGAACAGGGAAGGCTTCATATAAAAGATGGTGCTTGAGCTTTATTTTAAGGGAAGAGGAGGGACTCCATGAAATTGAAGTTAGGAGGGAGAGATTCCAGGCATGAGGGACAGCCAGTTAGTAAGGCACAGAAATTGGAGATGGAATATCATGTGTAAGGAACAGAGAGAAAGCCAGATTGGATGAATCACAGATTGCAGTAGGGGTAGTGATATGAGGCTTTAAAGATAGTTTGGGGTATGTTATGTATTGCTTTAGAAGTTCAGCAGTAGAATTTATATTTTATCCTAGATGTAATAGGAAGTCACTTGGGTTAGTTGAGGAATGTAGTTACATGGTCAGATCTGCATTTAAGGAAAATTATTTTTGCAGCAGTGTGTAACATACTCTGGAGTAGAGAGAGACTCGAAGTTGGGAGAGTCATTGGAAGGCTATTGCACTAATTTAGGTGAGAAGTGATGAGAATCTGAAACAGGAGTGGGGGAACCTTTTCATTTTGGAAGGCCACATTAATATTTAGCTATAATCAAAAAGGCTGCTTTCAAAAAACTTCCATTAGATACACTTGAAAATGTACATTATTTTGTAAAAATCTAACTACTATGTGCTTAATAATTTCAAAAAATGAAAACTTAATTCTAAAGTTAACTGACCTTTTAATGACTTTGTTGTGTCTGCTTTTTGTTGGAAAACATTTGAATATTTGGTTGCAGCATGGAGGTCCATAGTTTCAGTTGATCCTCTGGATGGGTATCAGTCATTTGTGACCTTAAGGGCATCTTAATTTGGGTTAGGTAGGAGAATGTAGATTCACAGTGATAAGTGGTTAAAAAGCAAAAAAGCATTTTTCAGGCATGTTGCTGAAGGTGTGGGTATTCTGCATTTTTCCATTATTTCAGTTGGATCTTTCTTAGTATCAAACAATGACTTTAAAATGTCATGTACTGAGAGCTCAATCAATTCCATCTGTAGTTCCTTAGGTGCCTTGGTGATGATTTCAACTAGGTGAGGCTGAAATGCTAATTTGAGTGTTATGTCATGATTCTCAAAGTCAGTGAACCTTTCATTGTATTCTCCAATTAATAGGTTTATAACAGCTGCGTATTCTTCAAATGATTCGCATATATCATCCTGCTCATTAAGGACCTTTGCTAATTGGGGAAAATGTTGATCTGAAATTTCCTTTTGAAGAAGTGTTTTGAAAAAAGATAGATTTTTTTGAAATGCTTGGATTTTTTGCCACATTATCATATATAGACTTAGTTTTACCTTGCACAGACATATTCAAGTTGTTTTGATTTGACATGATATCACACAGAAATGCAGTATTTCTGTAGAAATATTCTTTCAGTAATTCACATAGCAGATTCTGTTCTTCATAAAATTTAATTATCTGTTCTCACAGAGATAAAATTTTGGCTAACACCTCTCTCTGCATAGCCAACGCACTTTAGAATGATACTGCAAATCCACACTGAATACCTCATCGTTCAACTTTAGCATGCTTCAAAACTGACAATGCCATGTTGCATTTGCATGAATATAGTTAACAATACTTAGAACTTGTAAAGTTCACATAAAATGAAGTTCACTTAAAATAGCTTTAGCACAGAGATTTTGCTGATGCAAGATATAATGAAAAGAAATGAGAGCATCTGGATCTGTTAATACTTTTTGTATCTGTGCAGTAAATGCTTCATGGTTTCCTGTCACGGAATGTGCACTATCTGTACATACACTCACTAAATTTACTAAATTCAGTCCAACTTCACGACATTTATCTTGAAAGTTGTTGAAGATGCCTATTACCCGTGTTCTGTTCACAGTAGTGCCAAAGTGAGTAACTCTTTGTAGCAAAAAAACTCAAATCTTATGTTATGACCCAAATGAAGAATAAAACCTCTGCTGAGTCAGTAGTATCAGTTGATTCATCCAAAGCAATTGAATAATATATATTTTCCTTTTGAAGTATTGCATGAAGTTGTTCTGTTAAGTTGAAGGCTAATTCATGCTGCTGATCAGTGATGGTTCTCCTGAAAAAGGCACTTGTTTGTACTTTGAAACGTTTTCAGGGTCTAAGCATCCTGCAACTATGACAATGCATTCTTTCACAATTTCTGCATCACTGAATGGCTTCCATTTTTTCCCTGAGTATATAAGCTGCTTTATAAGTTGTTTCAGTGACATTATCTGCAGGTCTTACTGCTGCTTGAAAGAATTATCTTTGGGGCAGCTAGGTGGTGCAGTGGATAGAGCAGGTGAGGCTGAAATGCTAATTTGAGTGTGATGTCATGATTCTCAAAGTCAGTGAACCTTTCATTGTATTCTCCAATTAATAGGTCTGTAACAGCTCCTGGATTCAG